ACTATCAGTAGATATTTGAGTAAGTTGAAACCCAATCCTTACATTTAAAAGTGTAATATGGCAATTTATCTCAAGAATATCCTGTGGTCACTGGCGATCCAGACTGATTGTAGGGGAGAGTGGGGTAAGATGAGCCATTTTTTACTTATGTGAAGTTAAGAGAAAATTGTGAAAGTATCTAAAGTAATTTCAGGATGTTTCCTATCATTTTAAATGCATCAGAATACAAAATGTTCTAAAAAATATAGCTTCTTATAAAAAAGTGTTCCTGTGGCTCAATTTGCCCCAGGTTAGGGGTAAGTTGATCCAAGTCAGTGGTTAAGTTGCACCATCCGGGTGTAAACTGATCATAATTCAGTCTGAATCAAACCCTGGTGAAATTGTAAAGATAATTTACCTCTTTTAAAAACTACTTCAATAATCAAATTTCCTTTGACAAAGTCATATTTATTTTTCTTAAACTATTAAACAACATAAAACCAACCAAATGAAGTTGAGATTTCAATAGCTTTAATTGTTTACATTTCTGAAACAATATATTGAACACCAAAGTTGTAACCTTTCCAAAAACAGACTAAACAAAGTTTGTTGAGTAAAATAAAAACTGAATTAGAATGCATGAATAAATGTCACTGAAACTAATAAACATTTTAGTCAAAAGGCTCTTAGCATGGTAGTTTTTCTGTAATGTCAAACATGTTAGGCCATTAGGGACTACAGATGGAAAGATGTATATGATTAAGCATCTTCTGGTTAGAAGGATTTGGTGTATTTGTACATAGTTCTTATCAAATAAACTAAAAAAAGGAAACAATTACCAATTCAGGCTAATATTTAGCTAAATGATTTGAATGGTTTTATACATTGCTAAATCACCAATATGGATCATAAATATTTTAGACCTGGACAAATTAGCTTTGATGAAACAGCCATTACATGTGTTACACAAAATTTTTACTTTTTAAGTAAATGGGGGTGCCTTCCACTCCACCATGTGCTTCTCCTTTTTAAAGTCTGGCAGAAATGATAGGTGGTTCCAAAATATATGCTCACATGACAATACAACTACAGTGGCTCATCTTACCCCACTCTCTCTTCTATCCTTCATTTCACAGGAAACGAAGGACGGATTTGGAGGCCGCATTTTAAGGAGCCTTTGAATTGGGACTGCGCCGACGCAATCGGCTTTCGAGTGCGCCCTTCGAAGGATGCAGCCTCTGAATTGGGACGCAGCAACTGTCAGTTTAACAAGTCAGAAAAGATCTATGTGATGTCATCAATAGCATGCACTCCCATCACATTTTTGAGCTCACAGGAGAAATGGCATGTGACTTTCAGCAGCATTGTATATTTTATGACCAAAAAACTGATTTTCAGTTTTAAAAGTACACATTTTTGTCAAGATTATTTTTTTGCCAATTATTGTATTATACAATTGGCTTGCATAACCTAAAATAGGCTTGCTGTTTCTCTCAAACCCACATGCTAAAACAGTAGTTAGCTGTGTAATGGCTGTTTGTGGGGATAGTTGTAACAGTTCCCTAATATGTAATAAGTTACCTATAAGTTCTGCCTCATTTGAGCACATACATGTTTTTGAATTTATGTGCATCCTGCCATTTCCATTTAGATATCATAAATAATCCATGTGATATCATAAAATTTAAATTAAAATAGATGGATAGCAACATAGCTATGTCTGAATGTTGTGATGTGTCAATAAAGTTACTCAGTTTAATTTCCATCTGAGCTTTATTAACATTAAAGTTTTTGACTGTACACACAAGCACAAAATGTGACTACTCTTTTTTTTTAAATTCAACTTTCAGAAAAGCAAACAATGACATTTAACATCAAACAGATAGATATTGGGGGAAACTTATAACAGATCTTACATTGTGAGTAAAACATTAAATTATACAAATGACTTTTTTCAGTTTGAGAGATGTTTTTAATACACTTCTTATTTTAAATAGTTGTATTCAATGAGTCATCAAATATTTTAAGATTAAAATGTGTCTACTCAGAAACACTGGCAGACTTGCTTCAATCCTTCGAACACTGCAACTTAACTCTTAGCAAGCACTTGGTCGCCACCTAATGGATAAGAGACACATTACCTCTAACAATATTAAAGTGAACAAAAACAACTGTCGTGAGTGTGTTTGTGTGTATTCATGTCACATTTGTGATATAAAACAGTTTAAAGTCCTAAAAGAAATACAATATGTTTGTTTTTTGTCATTTTAAATATTTCACTTTATTCAAAAGTGATTATTCTTTGTTCTTCAATAAAGTTCTTTCATAAATTAGATGGTGTCATAGGCGTCATTTACGGGGGGACGGGTGGGACATGTCCCCACCACATTTTGCCAGGGTCGATTTTGTCCCCACCACTTTTGAAACATCTCGGATGTACCAATACAAGTAAAACATCTCCAGTTAACTAGCAGAGCATTCGTTTCGTTCGTTAGTTAAATAAGAGGCGATCTAGCGCTGAAATGTGTTGCTTTTTTAATCAAGTGATCATGTGCTCGTTGCCTCTGCGATCAGAGCCGCGGATAGTGTTCTGTTGTGGCTCGCGCATGCGCCGCAATGTCTTCACTCGGACGCGCGCTTCAATCCGTTGCGGAGATTCTCTATTTGTTCCGGTGAAATCGCAAAACAAAATGCAAACAAAGTGTCCCTGCTTGATATACAACCACTGATAAACATTATCGGTTTTGATGAGGAAAAAAAAAAACTATACGAGTGGCGTGTGGATTAGAACTGAGAACCTCCGACAGGCTTGGAAAAAATTCTGCCACTCGACCATTGTAGTACATACATTAGGCTGATCTATGACACTAAACATATATTAGATCTCATTGTACGACCAATTAAACCCAAAGTACTATTTAACCCCCCCACCCATCACATTTTTGGTCGGACATCATCACATCTTTGTATACATTTTTATTTATTTACAGTAAGCTACAGGACATCGTCTTTCAAAACATGACCTGCGCGAAAGAGAAAAAAAAATGAATGTGTCATTGTACCCAGCACTTTTGAAAATGCACTTTCGAATGGGTCTCTGTCCCCAGCACATTTCAAACCAAACTGACGCCCATGGATGGTGTGGATATTAGGCTACTTCAACAAATCACCTCTCATTGTGACATCTATCCCCAGCTAGTGTTACAACTCACCCAGGTTGTAACAATGGAACTCTTTGTATCTATCATTAACTCACATAATCTGTGATTGTACCCTGATAGCACATAGCCTCCATCACAGAGACGTCTATTTGATAGATTTGCGTGTTTACATCTGGAAGACGTATTTTTTAGAGTGTTTGCTCATCTTCGCAGATGAGCAAACACTCTAAAAAATACGTTTGAGATCAGATGTCTATTTGACATCTGGCAGGAAATGTCCTATAGATGTAATCGCTTACATCTATAGGACATTTCCTGCCAGATGTCAAATAGACGTTTAGAAAATGAAGATGTTTATGATTTAGAATGTATGTAAAACTGACATCTTAAAGACGTCTATCAGATGTCAATAAACAGCAGATGCATTCCAGATAAAGTGATCTTTAACAGACATCTTGCAGACGTACCAATTGTCAAGACATGTCCAAGTGAGTTAGACAAATGTGGCTACCGTATTTCAAAGTTTGAGGGATCTATAGCACAACCAACCCAGATAGCAAGGTGACATTGATTCAATGTTGAAATTCCATCAGAATCATCATTTTGGTTGAGGTTGAAAATGATTGATTTTATGACCATCTTGATGAATTTTTCATCGTTAAAATAACATTATTTCAGGGTGCAAACCGGATGAAAAATCAATGTTAAATTTCAACATTGATTCAATGATCTTTTGATTAGGCTAAAGCATTAACATTGATTCAATGTTGATTTAGTGTTGGTCTGCTATCTGGGAACCACATTATTACTGCATTAGGCTATGTAACGCAAAGTTGAGGGGTGATTCCGTGAAATCGGTGCTTTTTGCGTCCCTAACAAATAATCAGTTCTAAAGTTGGTTTAACAACAAATAAATGTGTAATTTAAAAAACGTAATATTACTACAGATCATAATGCATCAATATAAGACCAAGTAAAAGCCAATAAAATATAATTTTAAATAATTAAAATCACATATTATATGCTATAGGTAAGGTCATTCCACGAAATCGGTGCCTTTTCAACTTTAAATTTTTTTAAAATATAATTGTTTTAAACTGATTTTTTTCAGTACCCATTAAATTAAGACATCTTAACATGACAGGAAATTGTGTTGGGCCATCTCATGCTATGACATTTATTATTTTATGACTGTTTATTTATTTCATGTGTTGATATTTTCCTCAGTCCTGTTACCGACTGAAGATGCTGTTGGCCAGAGAGAGAGAGAAACAATATGTGGTGTCGGAGGAAAAGATGCACGAGAGACGAGAGATGGCGTATTTTCCCCGGGTTTAATAAAATTACGTCACACTCGTCCGCATACATGGGATTGAGTGAGAAAATGAACATTCAATTCTGGTCGGAAATAAAAGAAAGAGTACAAAAGTCGGTAGAGCGGTTAGGCTATCTCTTCTCCTCACCTGTCAAATCTATTGACACTCTGTGCACATGCGCAGTTACATCAAATAAGCATAAAAGCACAAAGTGACCGTTACAAAAAGTGTTAACCTCCCCTAAATGCACTGAATCTTAGGTGTCCCACATTACACTAATCCACTCTCTATAATAAACCTATTATTATAATTATCGATCTTTATTTAAAATAAATGGCGAGTAGCTAAATTTGTTTTTATTCGTACATTTAAAGTGTCCAAATAGGCTGGTCCCATCCACATACATCAGCACATTATCCTATAGTAAACAGATGCACACAACTTAAACGCTCGCGTCTTTGATTTTCCTCGAATGAAGAAGTTTTCATATTAGACTTGTGAAAGATTCGGAAGAAAAGCAGTTGGTTCTCTGATGTCTCTCGAGCGCCTCGTCTCTTGGTCAGGCTGATACAGGAACAGCAGCTCTCGAGCTCTAGTCTTGCGCTCAGTGAGCGACTGCAGCTGGAGAGACAATAACAGCGACCCGTGCACAGGTAAGCAGAACCTGCCAAAGCTGACATTTGTGATTTTAAATGCGATTTATTTGTGTATGTCTACTGGTTTTCATGCACTGTATTCGAAGGAGGTTTGAATCAAACAGACAGCATGCGTGTCCTTGTCGCAATTTTTAAATCGTCGTTGGTCAAGTCATGTTGTTAAATCGGGCCTGTGCAGCTTACGTATTAATAAACTAATGCTCTGAATATAGAATATGCTCAAATATTATGAGAAAATGGCCGGTCTCATAAGAAAAATACGTTAAGTGACTAACAAGATTATTCAGACTGAACCGAACGTACGTGTAACGGTATTTATGGGACTTTTCACCAAATGCCAATATGTTAACGTGCTCATGTTCAAGACTAGACCTTTAGACGTGTAAAACCTCCCCCCCCCCCCCCCCCCCCCCTTGCACGTTACCTTTATTTTCATATTATCAGTTGAACGCAAATCGCTAGAGCTATTACGCACAATGTGTCATTTTTATTCTTCCCAAATATTTACGGACTGCTACAAAGAATGCGAATAATGCGAATAATTCCAAATAAAATAAATACTGTATTGTTTCTTCCGCTCCAAAAACGCAATGCTTATGCCTATGCAAGTTCAAGCACATTGTAAAACGATTTTTGTTGAAGGATGCTTTGTTGGAACGCACCACCTCCCTCCATCTCTACAGAACAGAGATGCGGCCATGATTCCAGCTCTTCATGTCGTCTGGTCTGACTGTGTTCATGTGTCTGAATTCAGCCATCACAGTGTATCTGTGTCTGATATCACGCTTGAGTTCTGTCGAATTTATAGGCGACTCGCTTTTATTTCATTTCATGGTTACGCATCGTCGCTGTGGGTGCTGATCCTATTCTAATAATGCTATGCAATGCCTTTAGTCAACGACAGAACGTTGTCTATTCATGGATGCATGGGTTAATTTAGGAACCAGCATTATTCTGCATGTTCAATGCGCGCTTCGCACATTTTGTTAGCGGTACCCATGTATATAATCACTGTGTTAAACTGCATCCCTTGTGGACTGTAATCCGATTTAAAATGGGGGTTGAGTTTAGGGTTTTAAGGTGCCTCGCCTTTTCCCCTCATTACAGTTTTATATTGATTACATGAATGTACCGCCATTGCCAGTGTCCGATTACTGTTTGACGTTTTTAATTGTCATGACTGAATCTCAATAATTATTTCATAATAGAATCAGTCGAGCCACTCTCATGGTTTAGAGACCCTGCAAAGAATCCTAGATAGGGTGTATCCACAGGCATTATGCACCTTTGTTGTATGAAAAAGAGCAGCTTTTAAATTGACTAATTAGGGGGTAGCCTATTTCTGATGGGGAATTTCTGCAGGAGCCATTACAGAATATGTAGAATCATAAAACATTGCAGCCGCTGAATCAAATATATCAAAATCACATATAATTAGACAGATCTGTTATCTTTCTTCTGGGGGAAGAACAAAAAGCATTACATTGATTAATGTTTTGTGCCATTTGTGTAAACATGTCGTTGCAAAAAATGATAGAAGATAATTGTTTAGCTCCAGCTTTATAGACATTTGCCATGTGAGCTTATTATTTTTAATGGTCACTAAGCCCCATGGAAACATCTGAGCAAACTGTTGTGGTTTAGTGATATGGACAGGCTTACAAAGAGCATAAAATCTCTGACATAATGCCATATGAAGTCTCTCAGACCAGTATGAGTGCTTAATTGGCATGGCACTGACAGAGGGGTTTAGCTTGCTGCAACATCAGTCTCCTCAGAGGAGTTGGCATGGGAGGGTGTGATTGGGATCTCTGCCACAGACCAAGTGATTTGTGTAATTTGAGGTGAATTTGCAGCTGCGGAGACTTAGGCCATTACCTCTCTGACAGAAGCGTGATGAGCAGAATTCCAAAATTCCACGTCTACATGCATCCACATGGTCCTTTGCCCCGAGAACTTATGCATGACTGTTCTGGAATGCTGTTAGTCATGATCTGAAACACATGTAAAGTGGGGTACAAAAGTTTGAGACCATTAATAAAAATGTTTCTTTATTTTGGCAATTTAATAAAATCACTATAAATGATGTGATCGAAAGTATATTGATGAGTTGAAGAATTAATAGAGGTTTTAGAATTCAGTATTTGGGTTGTTTGTTTGCTTTAATGACATATGCTGCACTCGAACAAGTTTATGCAAAACCTGATGATCCATATTATACAGCATGTCATGAGCATCTTGTGAGCTACATTGAAAGTTTTACATATGAATATTTCTTATTCATTTTAAATTACTTGGCTTTTGTGTGGTAACTGTATTATAAGAGGAGTAATTGACTTTAATTGGTCCGTTGAATACTCTGTGTATTATTTTCTAATTCAACGGCCCAGGGGCCATTGTCAATTATTCCTTACATATAAAAATGTTCAATGTTAGCATATAAATATTTATTTTTTTGGGCAAAATGAATATATGTTTACCTGATTGGTATGTGCTGCAATAATAATAGGCAAATAATATATTTAACAAAGTGCATAATTTTCTGAAATTAATATTTGTCTTTCCACCACAGTACAGTGGAACCACCCTGCTCATAAATGGAGTGACTCATCATAAGAGTCATTTCTCATGCTAGCGGGATAATGGACGTTGCTTATGTCATCACATCAGTCAGAATACATTTTCTGGCATCAGATTTACAGTCTGTATTCTTGTCATCTAATCCAATATTGGGTTCTACATACTAGACTTCCAGGGTCTTATGTAATCTTGATTTGGTTGATTTCATAAATGAGTCATTTTGTGATACGCCTGTTATGACTGTGTTTGAATTAGAACATAACTGGCCCTGCCCGAAAGGAGGCGGGGATTGAAAGCAGTGAGAGAATATGAGAGAGGAGTAACTGTGCTTCATAGCGATGCTGAGCAAATTTAGGTCATGGATACAAGGGTAGTCAACCATGATGAGAGCATCACATACTTTCAGCTATCCTAAAGCACAAACTCAGTGCGAGCCAGTGGAGAGCAGCGATTTTCGGTTTGGTCCCAGATAAACAAGCAGTAACCCCTAAGGAGATAGTCTGACTTTTCCTGGTGCCATCCATGGATTTATTGCTAATTCCAACCAAGCAGTTTTTGACATGGTCAGATCTACTGATTACAGATTTGCCTGCTTACATAACAAATAATACCTGCTGAGTTGGTAGGCTATACAGATTTTTTTGTTATGTAGATTGTCAGCCTACAGGACTTCAGTGAATGGCCACAACCACCATCTGTAGCTCTAAATATAAAAGAATAGCAGAGTCTTCAACACAACTATAATGATAACGGCACAGAGAAATGATATCGTTGGAATCACTTTCAGAACGATTTCTTCCAGCTGATGAAAGATAAAAACATTAAAACATTGACAGCCAATCAGAATCCATCCAGCTTTAAAGAGCTCAAACATTCATAAACTGCAGCGAGTGCTTAGAATATACAGGGCTGCATTTCTCAAAAGCATCATGAGCCAAGTTGAGTGTAGAGTCCATTGGTGGCAAATGGCAATGGTTCTACGATCTACTTTGGCTTAAAGCAACACCAAGTAACTTTTCCTCTGCGGTCGCCCAGGTAATTATTTAGCCTACCGCAGCCTACTGTTGCACGCACGCTCGTTGTTTATCCAGCACCGGCTTTGGAATGAACAATGTCCACAGACAAGGTAGAGCATGTTGCATGATTTCATGAAAGTATAATGAATTGCGACATCAGAAACGAAGAAAAACAAAATAATGACTATTGTAACGCTTGACGTAAAGCAAGCCAAATTTGTAGTTTTCGTATGTCTCATTAGAACTACAGAAATGCGACCTGATCTGGCAATCTTGCATAGCGTGGTTATAGCAGATATAGGACCGCAAAGAGAAATCCAGAAGTGCCTTTCACCCTGTTACGACTTAATGAACCACTGAAACGATTTTGGAAACATTAAGGTAAAAAAATCTTACTTAGTGTTGCTTTAAGCCCAGAACGATATAGTCCGCTTGTGTGGACGCTAATATTGTTATCATTCTTGGTGTGAATTGGCCTTAATAGCACTTGTCAGTGTCAAAATAATTGAGATGGCCAATCAAATCAAAGAAGTTGTGCTTTACTGTTTACACATACTGAGTGCTTCAGTTTTTAACTGTGAAAGAGTGCATGGTAAGATGTAAGTAGTTAACATTTAATATTTGACAATTGTTTTACGATAGAAATCTTATTGAATGTGGCAGGACAAGAAATATTTTGCTGTTTTGCATTTTGAACACATTAGGCATATGAATAAGATTGAACGTGTGCATAATATTCTAAAATCAAAATATGAATTAAAATTGATTCATTTACAGAAAATTCTTATTCTTGTTCTTTAACTGTTATTCTTTCTTTTTCTTTATCCCCTCAAATCCATTTAAATCCCATAGTTATTAAATTCCTTAGATAAAAGGACAATTACAACATGTTTGTGTCCTTGCCTCAGTGTGTATGTTTTTGCAATCTGCAAGAATAGAAGCATAGTTTTTACATGACATTTTTGTTGTTGTCTTTACATTACAATTTGTAATGTTTTCTAGATTTCTTGGTGTTAGAAGCGAAATTTTAAGCACGGCTATTGAAATGTCCCACAAAACTACAAACACGACACTGGCAAGAACAGAACAGCATAAAAACAATCCAGAAGTTTGTTGACATCCTTTCAGTGTAACAGTGGGAGCTTTGTTTCATAAGACGTCTTGACACTCCATTGGAAGAATCAAATGCTCCCACGTCTATTTGAACGATCAGTCTCACGGGATTGAATCTATTTGTAGCATACAGTCTAGTTTGCAGTCTGAATCATCTCAGTACACTAGTTTAAACTTCAGCTTCAGTGTCATGCTTATCATTTGTGTATTGGAGAAAGCAGCAATGCATTATCAAAATAAGTAAATCAATTTTGTTGATTTTATGTCAGACCAGGCCTATATGATTAACATACTAACTAGGGATGCGCGTTATATCGGCCCCCATATCGGTATCGGCCGATACATGTTCCTTTTTTTTAATGTTATAGTTATCGGCTCGATAAAAAAATTTGCCCGATATATTAAAGCCGATAAATAGTGGATTATTTTCCTCAGCTGAGACCCTTCAGATGCGCACTGTTCACTATGATGGTTTTGAATGGCTTGAAATATGATTGAAATCACTTCAAAAAGGAAAATACAGTAAAGTGCAACATGTGCAGCGCAAGTCTGTCATATAGGCTACACACAATTATAATGAGAACATCATTATAATTGTGTGCTTGGGACATGCACTCGTGGCTTTTAATGGTGAGACTTTTGTTTTTGCAATCAGCCTCGCTTTCATACCTGTCATGGCGCTGCTCTGAATAAGGTCTATAAAGAAGGAAAGACCTCTGCGATCTGATCTTGTGTCCAGGCAAATACCCGTGTTAACCCTCACCTCGCCTTTGAATGCAGGAATCCAAACTGAATGTCTTTGTTCAGTTACTGACACTTTTGATGGTTTTATATGTGTACCCTGTGGTGAATGTCTTTGCATAGTATCCCAGGTGCTGTGTAAACATCTATGTTGATCTTGTGCGTTCTGTAGTCGCACCCACCCTTGCAATACCGCTTTTAGGTCGGTTTGCAGAACGGCCATGAGCATGCCAAGTTCATCATTCTCATTCTTTGAACACACACACACACACACACACACACACACACACACACACACACACACACACACACACACACACACACACACACACACACACACACACACACACACACACACACACTCATTAGAGAGCCAACTTTGCATGTTTTTTTATGCTTTAACACTCACAACAAGGCACCGCTACACAAAAACCAACAGATGTTAGTGCCTGGTTAGACGGGCTCTTCAACTGCCCTTGGAGGCATGTGGCGTTATGGTGCACATACATTTTTCACTAAGTGGAGTCAGGACATGTTTAAAAGATCTTTCAGCTCATACTGTGGAAAGGTCATTGGATATGTACAACCCCATTGAAATTCAAGGATTCAAATTTTATTTGGAAAGTTATAAATAATAAACAGATTCAGATCCTGCACTCTTTAGGTCACTAATCAAAGTAAATTTGTACAAAGAAGTTTGCATGATCAATGTGACAGATGGTCTTGGGATGACATGATCATGATTTTTTTCTGTAATTAATGTGAAACCGTGACATACTAAATACATTCACATTCTGAAAAAAAAAAAAGAAAAAATTTTTTTTACTACAAGTGTGATGATCATAATTTAATTTGTAATTGAAAATAATATACTGTATATGAATTAGAAAAGTGCAAAGGACTGCTTTTTTTGTTATACTGCAGAATTCATTTGTTCCATTTGATGATATATATTATGTAAACGGTAATAAATGTTGAGCAGTCATCACATTCCCAGTGTACAAAAAGCTTTGAGGAAAGGTAAGAGAGAGCAAAGTTCCTGAATCCTTGTGCAAACACTGTGTTCCAGACGGTTTGTGTGCCAGATGCGCATAAAACAGGTGAGATTTTTCCCACTGCCCAATGCAGTGCCATGGAGATTCCAGACAGGATTTTGTTGTGAACTGTGGATTTTAGTAGAGTAAGCATGGCAGGAAAACTCATAAGATCAAAGAGAAGTGCAATTTGTTGATATAACAGGGAAAGTATTCAATAAATGCTAATGGGATACACCAACAGCTGTGTGTTGTACAGTCACACTGCTTGCTATGGCGGTAATGGTGCTGTTAATGCTCTACAGCAGTCTTAAGGTACGTTTACACAACAACGATCTACAACTACGTTGTCAATGCAATCCCCATTTGACAACGATCAGCGAAAACGACTAAAAACGCTGCATGATCATGCCAGGCCAGCAGTTTGGCGATGTCACGTTGTAAAGAAACACGACTGAACACGTAATACGCAAATTTGCATCTTTGTTGTTTACATGGAGACGACGATAACGGTATCATTTTCATAAACTTGCACTTAGAAACTCGATTTCAAAAGCTTATGGTTTCAGGCCGCCAAAACTGTTGTCGTGTAAATGAAGGGCCAAAACGCAGAAAAGGTTTTCAGTTTTTAGTTAAAAGCGGTGGCGTGTAAACAACCCCTTAGGCGCATTTCTTGATTTCTCTTTTCTCTACTATAATATGCTCCTCATCACTCCAGTAAATGTGTTTGCTATCACTGTTCAACATTTTTAACTCTCTTTCTCAAATGATAAAACGAAGCAATGCATGAAAGTTTTTTCTGCGACTTTACAAGAAACATAAACATGTAAAGGAGTCGAAGCCGATGGCCTCGTGGGCAGTGCTCTGACATGTAGTGTGGTCGTGCTGTAAATGTAAAAGTGAAGTTTTTAAGCAGTGGTCGCAGACTTTGGAACCTACTGTATATAGTCTCATTTATAATATATAGTATATAGTCTCTTTTAAATGTACATAGGGAGCATGAAGAATCATTTTCACACAAGAGATCCATACATTTTTGAGTCCATCCGTCTGTAAAGTCTCCTCCAGCACATCAAGACTTTCAGTGAGTTTAAGTTCTGGACTCAGAGGAGCCAATACATGCCATTCATGCTCCTTCCCAGCCATTCTTTCACAGTTTGAGCCTGATGAATCTTGACATTGTCATCTTGGAATATAGCCAAGGTTGTTTAAATCCAAACAGTGACTTTTTTGTTGTTGTTTTTGGCCGGGCAGTGTATATAATTATATTATGTTGAAAAGTCATTACCTTCCCATTATTGCACTAAAAAATAAAAATGCTGTTTGTAAGTGCTACAAGCGTACACTTCAGAATGAGCTGTCAGGATGTCTGCTGGGCTGGGCACTGTGTAATGCTTTGGTTGAATTGTACATCAGGACGGCTGTTAAATTTTCAACATGTATAATCTTCTTTGGGCTGGGTAGCTAACTGAATATGCATCACTAATCAGTGGGACTTTCAGTATTAGTGACTATAGTATTACAAAATAATTAACACCTTTAACACCTCAATGCTTTGGAGCCGGATTGTCTCGTGTAGAAACAACATTTGCCTTCAGTGGCAAAAAGGGCTGTTTTCTATCATTTCACATTGCGATTGTTAATTACATCGTGTCATTATGTAAGGCGTGATTTTTTTACCTGGCAAATGAGAACTTTTGCAAGTGCACTATGTTATGTTGTGTGTTACAATGGTTTAAATAAAGTGGCTTCAGAAAGGCTTGCAGGAGGTGCATGGGGACACATTGGCTTGACTGCACTATTTTAAGCCACATGGCAGTAACCTTAAGCTAGTCCTGCGTGTTTGGCAGTATAAATATCCAGGTTTGCACCGGCACTCTGGCTCTGTTTACATTGAGCTCGTGACAGCCCTGTGTGAAGCCAATCCTGACGATTGGTTATTGATTCAACCCTCGTTGTCCTTGGAAAAGTTAGTGGAGGACGCCACTACTGTTGACTCATTGAACTGAGAGTTGTTTTGGAGGTTTTCTGCTAATGGATTGTGGATTTGAAGCATTTTTTTTTTCTTCTGTCAGCACTGAAACCCCATTTTTGCCGCAAGGAATCAGAGCAAAACAATCAGTAACTGGCAAAAGCATTTTTAACTGCTTTTCTCGTGTACAACCACTAACTTATTATTATTTTTTTCCCTTTCTGCTTTTTATACCCTTCTTACTCTATCCTTTCTCCCTTACCTTTCTCCCCCACCCTCCCTCTCCACCCAGTATCCGCATTTGGACTTGCTATGGACCAGCAGCACGATTTCTTGAGCTCCTCGCCCAATAGCCACACAGCTCACTACAACTCTGGCGATACTATGGCAACCTCCCTTTCTGGAATGACCATCAATGATCATCACCATGGCAACCAGTTCCATAAGGAGAATGGAATTGCAGTGGGGCTTGTGAGACCAGGGGATTGTCCAATGAAAGGTGAGTTTGCTTCTGTGGGAAAACAGGTTCATTGTGTCAAAGCCAGTCAAAATAAATACATACCGATTACCTTATTAGTCAGAACTATTAAACAAGCTCTGCAGTGTGAACAGGGTGTGTATGTTATCATGACACATTCAAATATAGTTAAAGGACAAGTTTAATTGTTCTTGAAGGACGTACTGGTGTGGAATATGATCTACAGTCTAAAAAGAAATTCAGGGGACCTGGTTATGTTGACATAATATTCAATTTTATATTACATCAATGTTATATTGTGTGTAATTTAAAGCTGCAGTCTGTAACTTTTTTGTGTTCAAAATTAAAAAATAAATTTATAATGAGTGAATCCATCATGAATCCATTTTCCAAACCGTGTTTTATCATTATGGTACACCTATAATAAGTGTTTATATTGGGACTATTTTAGACTGGTTCGGGTCGTACCGCTGTGGAGTAACCCAGTACCTGTGTGACTCGTCATAGACAGAGCTCCGGCTACAATGTTCTTCCTCAAGAGACATGCAGTTCGGTTTATTAACCGCTAGAGCGCCAAAAGTTACAGCTTTTAACTGACATTTCTGTGTTCTTTTTCTAAAGGAAATATTAACTTAATGAAACTGTCTTGATAACGTTGAGAATTGGACATTTCTAGTTCCCAGCATACTTTGCATAGGAATTGAGAAGAAGAATTAATGTTGAAGTTGAGTGTTATTTATTTTATGTGTTTTTTTAGTAAAAAGAAAGACCTGTTAGTGTTTACTGCTGTTATGTTTGACATTTAAAAGAGTTAATGTTATATTAAAGCTACACTGGCCTTATGAGCAATGGCTGCACTAATGCCTGTGACAAGTAATATTTAACATATACATTTGCTGTTATTCTGATTTGAAATAGATAAGAATAATTGGTTTGAGGACCACCACTCGATTGTGCTGAAATTAGTTGGAACGTCTTAGTTTTTTACGTAACCAGCTTCAAAAAATGGTTTATGCTGCAAATTTCTCTAACTCAATGTACAGTAGTCAACATTTGAAGTGGATCAAAACCTTTCATCAAAGAATTCAAACATAAATTTTGAACAATACCGGTCTTGTCTTAGGACTTCAAATGTTGACTACTGTAGTTGTTGTTTGAACATAATTTTATTAGACGTTATCATAACTCAAAAAGATTGATCCACACTGTTGTTGTTGTTGTTGTTTTGTTGAGCCTAAATATTTGTTTTTAGACTGTATAAAAGACACTTTCTTTCCTCCACAGCCAATAAGGATGAAGATATAATTACTGTCATTCATAAATAATATCTCTTAATATGTAGTGCACACTATTAAATATTACATGGGCAAATGTTATGACAGACATAATCAAATATTTCTTGGCTGCCAGGGAAAGATATAATCAGGCAGTATGGTTCTGTAGAATACACCAGAGAAAGATTTGCACGTTCCTACTAAATAATGAGATTATATTAATGATTTCATTAGCACATGAATTCACCGTGATACTGCATGCATGCTGATGTGTTATCCCACCGAATATCAATTAGCATGACCGCTAACATGTTTCCTCCTGTCATGAGCAAATAAACGTATCAAATGAGGGAGATTTAACGATCAAAGGCATTGCAGGGCGTATGATCTTAACACATATTTTAGTGTTGTTTCAGATTATGAATGTGGCCGCATTGGCTGCAACTCTTTGATACAGCCTTGTGTATTAATTCCTTTACATAAACCACAAGGCTATGCTTGACTGGGCCCTCAATCCAGGCTTTGCAGCTGCGTCGCACTGTAATCCATGCATGTGGGTCACGCTCTTCTCAGGATGCTCGCTGGTACTAATTCAACGCCTTCACACAACCTGCTTTCTTCTGCATGTGTGTGTGCTTTTGTGTTTTTGTTTACAGACCATTGAGGCTTTTTGAAAAGCACACAGTAATGAAATTGGTTCTCAGTTGGGTTACAGAAAATGTAAGGAGACAGTGTATAAATGAAGGCATGTAAAGAAACAATCGATGGATGTTAAGCAAGTTTGAAATCCCCTCATTCACTGTTCTACCAAAAGTATGAACAGTTGTCAGTAACTGAATTAAACCAATGAAACTTCGCCCAGCTGGCGTTCTTCAATGTGATTGCCACAGTCGTTCTAGCGTATAGTGTAATCTGAACTAGTCGACTAGATTCTACATTCATAAAGCTATAGTGTCATGAGGTACTCGCTCTCACGTCGTTCCAAACCCATAAGACTTTCGTTTTATTTTGAAACAAATAGATATTTTTAATGAAATCTGAGAATTTCTGTCGCCCCATTGAAAGTCTATTCACCCCAAACTCTGGCGGTTCGTGAAGAGATCATAAAATAAATATCAATCTCAATATGAACATTTTGAAGCGTAGAATAGACTTTTTATTGGAGGGACAGAAATCGTTCAAATAAATGATGCTGCCTGGGAAAATCCGGCTTTTCTCTCTCTTTTTTTATAAACGTAGTTGCTTGTTTAAAGCCACTGCCAATCATTGAACTCCAAGCATGTGTAAGGAGGGGAAGGACAAACACAGTCGTTGTATTGACTGACAGACTTTTGTAAAGGTGCCAGCTTGCAGCAGAGTCTTCTGTTGTATTGAATGTATTCACAAACCCTAAATGGGACCATAACACTCTCTCTTTTTTTCCTCTGCGACCCCCTGCATTCTTTAGTGCGTAGTTTATATTTCCCTAGTTTACAGCCTTCACTAGTGCACACTTTCTCCCCGTTTGCTCCTTCTGTAATGGCCCACTCAAGGAGGAAACATTACTCAGAGAATCTTCCACAAATAAATGGCACATACTGCAATGGCACAGCAGAGAGTGAGTATGTTATATAGATAGTAAAGCTAGTACATTAGTGACTGTAGAAGCACAGTATTAAACATTAGCCACTTTCACACATGTAAAATGTGGCCACACAGCAGCACAATACGGTTGTCGGTATATCTGAGTCCTTAATACGGTCACGTTCACACACAGTTTGATTATTTAAAGTGATAAGACTTCTCAGTTTTATGAATGGCGCCATCTTTGTTATTACTTTGGTCACTGTTGTTATGCTTACTGGTAAGAGAATACGGGATTGACTCTCGTTGCATGGTCATGCAGACAGTATTCGAGACGCTACTGTAATTTACTGTGTGAACGGGACATTTTGAGACTCGCACCTGTAAGTAAATGCGGTTGTCAATCACACAAACTGACTGAGGCTGTAAAACACACTCGTAAAACTGAATTGACGTTTCTGCTTAATACATCATATCTACTGTACACACAAGCAAAAACGTTTTACTGTTTAGATACCATTTAGCACCAAAATATATTGATAAACTCTGCGATGTCAATCATCAGAAATGATCTTTAAATGCTGAGCCATTTTCATCTGCCTGGAAGAGAAGTGCTTCAGTTTCACTATTTGCTTACATTTTTGGACTTCCGAGTAACAGGCGTTAGGGGCAGAGCAACACACTTTTGCATTTGAGAGCACAAGGTGCCGCACAATAGTATCCTCTGTAGAGCCACAGCACTGATGAATGGAAAAGAAGAGAGAGTCTCGAGACGCATAAACACGCTGCTCATGTGCGAGATGCTGACAAAAACAGCGAGACTCAGTGGAATGGTCAAAGATGTCCATCTAGTGCATGTTCACATACCAAACTGCACAAATGTTATGTTCTGTTTATTGCACTAGCTCTTTAAGAAATGGTACAAGAGCAAAAGAGAGCGCACTGCACAATGTCTCTTTATTGACTTGCACAAACATTACAACAACAGCGGATCACAAAAACTCATTTGAACCTTAACCTTAATCTAAACAGTGTGGATTAACCACGGATCATTATACGTGCTTATAATGATAATCTAATGTTTTGTTCACACATAGCATGAAAATGGTTATTTACAAATAAATAACATAACTTCGGTAGCACTTTATTTTACAGTCCTGTTCCGCATGTACATACTATGTACTTATTATAGTAATATAATAGTTACCAAATAGTATAATATAATATAAAAGTAATAAAAGTTACAAAAACTGGGCAATAACTTGGTACCTTTTATTCCTAAGTAGGTAAGTACACTGTAAGTACATATACTGTAAAATACAGTGTTACACATTTATTTAAAATAAATGCATGGTTAATAATAGGAAAATTGTCATGTTTCCGAATGTCATGAATGCTCAAACCAATGTTTTCACCAGTCTTGTCCCATATGGTGTATGCATTTTATATACTGGGAAAAAAAGCAATAATAGTATGATTACAAGAACAAAAACGCAATGGATTCAAACAGTAAAGTTCAGTAAAGCTGAGTGTTGAGGAAGGGCATGTGCCTCAGTGTCTAATGCACTCTCCATCTCTCTTCAAAGATTTAGCATTTATACTGTTTGAGTGCCAAAGTTTTTAAAAACGATGTAAAATATTGACTAAATTCCTTTTAGATCTTTTGCACAATGTTCGTTTCTTGTTAGTTCAATGAAGCAGTTACTTTCCAACACTGCAGATTGTTGCTTTTATGGTTTGCCAGTACATTCAGCTGCCATCTGTTTCTGTCCTTATATTTAATTTGACAGTAAAATTAGTGTGTCTTTTAAACTTTACACGTGTCCTTACAACATACATTGTTGAATTCATTCTCTTAGCTAAGTTCAGGGATCCAGTTGCTATGTTAAGGTTGCGCTGAGGTCACAGTACAGTGTGATTCAGGATGTGTGATGTTTGACTTTAATTTCTTACCTTTGAAGAACTGAATTATTCTTTGCTATATATAGTATATATATATATGTTAAACATGTCTATAAATATAGATTGTCCCAAACAACTCTAATGTTATTTGTGTTTTTTAACCGAAATTCTCTCACAGAGGAGTTTTCAGAAGAAAAGGTGGATGTTGAGCTCAGTAAGGCTGAAGGAACCTCCTCTTCTGAGGAGAAGCAATGTGGTATGCATGGCTGCACTTCTAATAAAGATGCTTTGAAATGTTTGTCCCCCTTTTCTCTTTCAGTTTGCCCTTTTTTATTTATTTACTTTTATTGATGTAATGAAATGCCTCTTACTAACTTTACCTTGTTAAATATACAGAAGCTGCTCAATTTATGTACATAATAAAGAGTATAAATTATCTATAAAATCGCATCTTGGTAAGATATGTCAACATTTGAACCGCTTTAATATGTTTGCTTTTTTTAAACACCTGTATCTTTAGATATTCCAGTAAGCTAAAAACCAAATCTTTTATTTAAAGGTATAGCGGAGGATCTTTCCGAATTTTAGAGAAGACCCACCCTCTCCAATTTTTTTTAAAAATGCACATGCGCAACACTATTTGCTCCCGAGAGGGAACGCCTATTAAACGTGTGCACGAGAGAGCATGATAGCTTACATTAACTTTTACTAGCAGTGATTTTAAATGGATTTCTCCAAATAGCATGACAAACTTTACCTGTCTAGTAGAATCTTCGCGACTGCGGCATCAGTGGGAAGCCCAACCTGTGCTTTTAGCGCACGCCAGCGCGTGAAATATTCACCCAAAATCACTCTGGTCTTGTTTCTCTATCCTGCGGCCTTTCTCTTCTTATCATACACGTCGTATACATTTTTTCTCTTTCAACCCTCAGCCATTTTCAAAGGAATGGCTGAAACCGTAACTCATCACACATAATACACCTGAAAGTGTGCATGCGCAGAAAGCGAAAACTACATAGGGACGAGCACGTACGACCGCCTTACGTAAACATATCACCAGAATGATTGACACTTAGGTGGACCAATAGTATAGACTACCCACCCGGAAAAAGAAAATCCTCCGCTATACCTTTAAATATAAAAAAAAAACTCACCAGCGCGCAATGAATCTTGGGATTGGCTGCGAAGGATCCACTCGTTCTCTCCTTTACGGCCTAGGGAAAGAAGAATGCGCTTGTAGGTCGTATTTGAAGGAGCCTTTGAACTGGGACAGCTTTTGTTGCGCCGCTGTGATGCATTCGGCCTTTTAAGGATGCAGCCTCTGATTTGGAACACAGTAAAAATGTTAAAACTGTCTTTTCTCCTTTATAATTTATGTTGTGTGTCATAGTTCATGTTAATCAACCAGTTATTTGCTTTCAGCAGAGCACTTCAGAACTCAATTAAAGTCTCACTGTAGCTGAGCTGTGGAGCTAAACCTTTCATTTCTGGCTTGCGTTTGTGATGTTAACAGCTGCTTCACTTTCACATGAAAACCTGGACTTCCTTTGGTAGCTTGGTGTGTAAAGCTGTTGAAATGATGTTTTATAGAGGGCCCGCAGGATTCAAGAGCAGAAGAGAATGAAGATCAGCCCCTGCCTGTTGTGGAAGTGGCGAGCGGTATGGAACTTCTGCTCCAAACACTGCTGGCTCTTTTGATTGAAATGCTTTGCCCGAATGCCCTTTTGTGCCTTCTTTTTTGTGGATGCTTTTATGCCTTGCAACCTAATGTTTCTAATTTTCTAGTGTTTTGTCATATTTTAAGCCTGCTGGTTTGCATTTGGCTTCTGTTTAAATTTGGCATACTGGTAACAGGACCTCTCGCCTTTTCTTGCTTTGAAAATGCTTTTTATGTTGCGTTTACAATGGGGTGATTTTAAAAGTGTAAGATAATATGTATGTCAGTGAGGACACGTATATTAATTTTGATACCACTGCAGGGGCATGCTGAGAGGTTCCAGGCTTTTAAATCAAAATAAACTCAAGGGAGACTCCAGTCCTGTTTTCAGTTTATTTCCCATGTGATTAGTCACAGAGACCTCCGCTCAGCTGTCTTTGACACGCTAGGTGTGATGTTTTGCCAAGTCTGGAATTAATGCCTTGTGCCAAATAGGATTTTAGCTAAAGCTCTTTTTTTCACTGGTCACAATGCTTTAAATTGCAAGTATTTGTTGCTTTTGTGTATAATTTGTATAATTTGATGGTGTGCTTTCATGCTAGGTAATAGTGTTTGCCTTGCCATCCATCGGATGAGACGTTAAACCGGGTTGAACGTAGTTGACTCTGTGGTCATTAAGGCCCTGTTTACACCTGGTATTAAGATGCGTTTCGGTCGATCGGATCACAAGTGGACGACGCTAAATGCATGTGTAAACAGGGTATAAAAAGTTTTGAGCTTGTCCACTTTCAACCACTTCCAGAGGTAGTTAAGATTGCTTTTGTAGTGTAGATGCTCATGTGATCAAATGTGTTCGAACAGCCACAAAAGACCATCTACCGACCTAATGCGTAAACATTATGGGAAGCGCTCTAGCCAGACGGGACTTAAACTTTGTCGGCTGGAGACCCAAGTTTGGTTTGAAGATGAAAAACGTACTACCAAGCACAATGTTCTCTCACCATTCCTGATTTCTAACACACACTCACAGCGTTCGGCTGGTCTTGCGGCTGTCAGTGCAGAAACAAAAGCTGATGCTCTCCGTATTTTTTTCCGTCGTCCTCGGGCACGTTCATATGTAAATTACAGAGCTTATTTGACCATTAGATCAAAAGATCTGATAAAAACCATACATGTACCCACCCATAGACCTTCCCCTCGAAGACATCAGGATAGAAGTGGTTGAAAGTAAACAAAAGAGACGGATTAAAACACCAGATGTAAACGGGTATGTGTCTCCCTCGTCTACTTGTGGTCCGATTGACCAAAACGCATCATAATACCAGGTGAAAACAATGCCTAAAAATCCCATGGCACTTCTCGTAAACGAGGAGGGGTGTAACCCCGGTGTCCTGGCCACATTCTCTCCATTGGCCCTTATCAGTCCACATTCACTGAATTGGCTCGATCACTCTCTCTCCTCTCCACCTATAGCTGGTGTGTGGTGAGCAGTGGTCCAGGTGGATGCTGCACACTGGTGGTGGTTGTGGAGAAACCCCTGATATGATTGTAAAGCGCTTTGGGTGTAAAGTAGTACATAGGAAATGTGCTATATAAATACCTCATTCATTCATTCATTCATCCCTGCAGCTGAAATTGCCAGATATTATGCGGTACAGTTCTCTAATTTTTGTCTTTTATGTTTTTCTCTCTGTTTCCCGCATATCCTGACCATTATTAAGCTGGAGGAACGGCGCCCACAGGTAAAACACTATTTTTACTTTATTCTCAGATTGTACCACATTAGTGTCATGCTTTGTAGAATAGCCATTATGCTACAATAATTATGATCTAGTAGATTTCTTTCTTTTTTTAAAATCTTAAATCTTACAGTTTGTTTTTTCTGTCATGTTTTGGTAGTACACCACCTCACTGATCATTATCTTGTACTGGTTATTTGTTTTTTGTGAATACACAGATGTGTCCATTTTATTTTATTTTAATAATCAGGAGCAACTAGGTACTTCTAAAGAGCTGTCACAAATGTGCAAACACTGTCACTGTTTATCAAGTAACATTTGCTAAACCAATTGCAGAAGGCTGGAGTGTTCGGGAAGCCTAATTCGTTTATATCGATTTTTTGTGCTACCCTTGTGTAAAGAAAATGCATTTGAATGTACACTTGTAGTGTACCTAAATCTAATAATTTATAATTAAAAAATTAATCTATAATTTAAAAAAATCAACTTGCAAATATTCTAATAAGGAATAAAATGTGCATTTTGTAATAATGTCAATTTAAAAGTGTTACTTTAAAGTACATTTATGTTTTAATCATCTTTTGTTGTGCTTTAAACATTTGACTGTCTTGATTCACATGATATTTGATATTACGTTTAAAGTTATTTTATTTTAAATGTTCTAAATTGCAACTGAATCATTACATATGTGTAATAATAACACATATATTTAAATGCATGACACACAATTTTCAATAGAAATAACTTTAAAGTATATTTTAGTCTACCATAAATGCTTGTCAGTACATTCGGCAGTGCACTTTAACCATATTTCAAAGATAACAGAAGTAATTATGAAATCACATATAAAGATTGACTCGCTTAAGTCAAAAAAGCACTCTTAAGCTAATTGCTTTTATTATAAATTTAAACTATAATACATTTTCATTTAATTACAAATAAATTTGTAAATGTATACACACTTAGTTCTGGTTTCACAGACAGGGGTTAGATTAAGCCAGGATTAGGCCTTAGATTAGGACATTTAAGTAATTTTTTTAAACGTGCCTTAGAAAAAAACATTACTATGTGCATCTTGAGACAAAACATTGGCACTGACAAATTCATTCAGATATGTCAGTGCAAGCTGCTTTCAGTTAAACCAGCTCAAACATGGACTTTAGTCTGGGACTAGGTTTAAGCCTTGTCTGTGAAACCGGGGAATTCTAATATATGCATTGACAATAAAAAAGGAAATTGAAGTATTTTACTTTTCAAAGTATGCTCAAGTGTACTTTCACAAGGGTAGTGGCCCAGAAATGACATGCTTCACCTCTGTCCAGTTTTATAAAAAAAAAAAAAACCTTTTTGCAAGCAATCATGCTCTTCAATTGTACCTATCGGCTCATATTTCTGTGTTCAGTGTGAAGTCCGGTTTCATCACCACTGTTTGTTTTGTATGTTAGCAAAGGCCAGCAAACCAGTTTGATGTTTGCTCGTTATCTTTCCTCTACGGGTTTTTATTCCCTCCTTAACATGTGACAGTTTTCTTGGAACACCTTGTGTTTTTAGAGAAGGAAAAGTAATGGAGAAGTTGTCATAAAAGTAACATCTGACCAGTCTGTGTCCATGGTGAATGGGCCATGCATTATTATTAGTGCAAGTATAAGGCAAAGGCGGCTTTGTTTCCAGCTTTAGCCGCAGGGTTTTCATCTGATGGTTATGATCAACACTCGGACTGGAGCTGTGTTGACCACCAGAGAATACAAGAGCAGGACGAAGACCTCCTCAGAAGCAGCTGGGCTGAACAAGCAGTCCATTCCCATCATCGGCGGACATCTGTCAGTCCAGACCGCACCAGGAGCCTTTCTCTGGAGAACGAGCCACCTGCGACTTTCCTGGTTCGCAGTTCCGCCCTGGAGGACCTGACATCCGTCGGGGAGAGGATCATAGAAGCCAGGGCTGCTTACAGTGAGACCCTTCAGGAAGAGGAAGAACTGTCCTTTTACGACAATGAGAGCCACGCTGAAGAAAAAGAGCTTCCAGCATGGGCCAGCAGGGCTCGGACAACTCTCGCTGAATCTGTTTATGCACCTTCTGAAACCAAAGAACATAGTTTTACAAGCACTTTACCTCATGAACACATGGACACAATGGGCGCAGTGGAGGAGAAAGTTGATGCTACGTTATCAGGGGTTAGAGCTGCTGCTGAAGATGCAGAGACTCATCCTCCTACTAGCACAAGTGGCTCTCCAAAAGGTGTCCACGGCTCCCCGGCAAGAAAATCCCTGGTGCCGGTGGCTCAGTTTAAAGGTCTGTGCTGTTAAGCTCACAGAATCCCAGTGCAGTGTCTCTTCCTTGGTTTGCCTCCACCTATGTTTTACAGAGCCGCTTAGCTATGCACCACTTTCTGTCTATAACGAACATCCTACAAAATAAGCGGCGCGCTGAGGAGAACGGTCTGTTGTCCTGCAATTGTTTGCTACACGTCGTCCTTTTTTGGGCACTCAGCCTCACTCTGTCATTCTTTTGTTTCCTCTGGTGGTCTTGCAGCCTGTTTTGCGCTGATTGATGAAATCCATGTTTGCTGGCCGTGTTTCAGTCTGGCATGTCTGTGTGCATGAGTGTGTTTGCATGAGTTCACAACACCATCATCTGGTGCAGCACTGCTTTAACAGATCCCCTCACTTTTATTTACAGCCTTACCTTTCTCAAATGTTTCTTTAGAACATAAATTATACAAAGTCTCGTTGAAATTCTCAATTGAAAAACATTAGCAATACATTTAGCAAACTGCAGTCAGTTTAACGAAGGCATTTCCACACTGTTAGCATAGTTGCAACCTAGTTAGCTGCCTAACTCTTGAAAATAAAGAGGTTTTCACAGCAAATTTAATAATCTAAAGGGCCCTTTTCCACTGTCAAGAAACTTTTGGGCAATGTAAAGATTTTAAAGGTTCTGCATGGAACCATAGATGCCAATTAAGAACCTTTTTTTAAGAGTGTACTGGGGCAGCGTTTAAGAAAGCATATGTGCATTCTTATCTTATTTATGCCTTAAGATTCTAAAGTAGCATCACAAAAATCCTTTACGAACAAGGCAATCTCAGAATACATTACGATGAACTCGGTGATAAATCCAAGACGGCAGGCCAGCTGAGAGAAATGTTGACAATAAACCGAAACTATTCAGTACTTAAAAGAATTCATAAAAATATTTAGCGTCATTTGAATCGTCAAACTCTAGCTTCAAAATCCATTGTGTGTCAAGTCTCCAGTGTTTCAAATTAGTCTCTTGTGAGGTTTAAAGGGGTCATATAATGCCATTTTTGTACAAGCTAGTATGATTCTTTAGGGTCTAAATTAAAAGTTTGTAATATACTTTAATTACAAATTCTCATAAGTATTGTAAGAAAACACTTATTTTACTTGGTCAAAAACAGCTCTGTTTTCAGCACGCCGTTTCAGTGCATATGACTTTAAATGATCATGAACTTTGCTCACCCCGCCTCTCTGTTCTGTGCGTACACCGTTTGTAACACAATAACACAATAACCATAACGCGTTGTTCAGTATAAACGTGGGATTATGAATTATATTTAGAAAATAATACATAGAAAACATGCCGTAATGTTTCCTAAGTGTAAACCTTAGACACATTCATTGTGAAGCGTGCAGCTAGCGATTTGCAAAGATTAATATAAATATTAATATAAACTAAAGTTTAATAAAACGTTACACTCACTTCAGTTGTTCTAGAGGTTCAGCAGGAACACGAATATCTGGTACCGATCCTTTTTTCATGAGCAGCTTCTTAGCAAAACCAGCTTTATACTGACCCTCGTTTATAAAGCAGTCTGCTGAGAAATGATTCGCGCAATCATGAGAGCATTGACGTTGCTCGTGGGGAATATTCCCTTCGAAAAAAAAACTCAGCCACTGTGTCTTCAGCGGTTCGGATTTAGGAACATCAAAATGACTGCTGTGTTCGTTATTACACCCAAGAACAGAACACCACAATCGCTTAGACGCCATTCTGCTCATAGACAGTGCTCCAGCGTATCAACAATGACCGCGCCGGTCCGCGCAGACTATGATTGACAGCTCACTCACGAGCGAGGGCGGGTCTGTGTTGAAACGTTGCTGTCAATCAACAATCGTGGGAGGGGCTTCCGAGCGTGTGACGTCACACGGTCGAACGGCTCGATTTGAGACAGGGGAAAACATATAAGGAGATTAAAACAAAAACACTGGATGGATTTTTATCATTTTATGATGGTTGTGTACAGGCACTGCCAACACACATTTCAGTACAATCAACTTGTAAAAGTGCAGGTACCATTATATGACCCCTTTAATAATGGTTAGAATTGCTTAGACACTGAGGCAGGTCACTAGGTTTAACAACACATGTAGAAAGTTTATTCAAATTGATATGTTGATTGTATTCACATTGGTGCATTTTTTTGGTTCTTTACAGCTCAGTCCAAGACCAATGGTGATGCTGAGAAGAGGGTGAGTGCTAATAGCTATTTTGCATTGTTCTTTTGTTCTCCTCCACTTTCATTTTCTTGCCTTTTATTTTGCTTATTTGTACACCATGGAGTTTTCATCCACTACTGTTTTGCTCTCTATATAAAGACCAAAGTCAGACCCTCCTCCCATAAAACACCTTCCTCCCTCCCAAAAAAGTCCTTGGCCTCCTCTAGTAGATCTCCCTCAGTACCTGCCACCAGTGCTGGGCTCAAAGAATCCAGGCCAAGAGTGAGTACAGCTGCCGATGTCCTGCCGCTTCTGTGGAGAATGGTCTAAGCTTGCGCCTCTGTTTTACTGGCAGTCTGCCCACTGTCTGGTGTAATTAACAGTATCTGCATCTCTCCTCTTGCTAACTGACAAGCATCTCATTCGCACAAATATTCTGTCGTTGGTGTTCATTTTCATTAGCACTGACATCTGGAAAGGCAACTGAAAATTGTCAGCATTGTTTTAGACTTAAACTTAAACAGCTGCAGCAAAGTTGTTGTGCTTCCTGTGGATGGGTTCATAATAATTGAAAGTGCTTTCAAACTCGTATGTTTGAGCAGGCAAACATGTCATAAGGCCTATTTATGAGTGCCTCTTCAACTTTGAGTGGGTTTGGCTCTCTGGACTCTGAGTAGTTCCTTTTATTTGTCTACTAACATTGTCTACTAAGAATGGGCATACATGCATCACTGGATAATTTTAGTTATTTTTGTCATTTTCTGAACCATCATTTAATGTCATTTCCAACACATCTTTATGTGGTTACATTTGAAACATTTTTGGAATAAAAATAGCAAACTGGATATAGCATTTGTATCCACAATTAAAAAAAATATTGGATTTGCGAACAAAATAATATTACCAAAGTGTAATTAAAAATGAGTCATAAAAAAAAATGAAGAAAACAATGAATCTGTTATTTTTAATTATATAAAAGCTGGACATAAAAGGGTCATAGCAGAGACACAAATAGACATTTGCAGTTGTTTTGTTATCCATAATATCATGGAATATAATTATTAATGTGTTTCTCTTTCTTACTTTCTTTCTTTTTTTCTTTTCTGTATATCTCTAGGCTCCTAGTAGCAGTAGACCTCATGCTGCTGGTACAAAGATTCCTGCCATGACTGCAGTTGCCAAAAATGGAAAAGGTAAGTAAGATTACTTATACAAAGGAGTTTTTAGATATAAATGTTTCATATACAGCAGTGGCCAAACGTGATGTCCAGAGGGGATATTTGCACAATATTCGCTTTTAATGACACTTTTAAAATATGAGAAATATGTGATATTGGAAAGAAGAATACCCTAAACTTGATTAAGGTTTCAAAATGACAAAATTATTTGGCAAGAAAGGCAAACTTCAGCATAAATATGGGTTTTATTGTATTATGCAAAAAAAGGCATAGAAAAACAAAAGCTCAGGAAATAAAGCATACGTTGACTACAATGTAATCAGTTATAAATATTTTGTTGGTTGTCCCTTGTTTTTGATTACAGCATAGACTCACTATTACTTTGCACATGTGTCATGTGTACCTTATCACAAAGAAGACCTGCGTGACTTATCACAATTCAGGTTATAATTTCACAAAGGGTTTCAGTGGCTTTAAAGTCAGGGGACTGAGGAGGCCACTTGAAGACTTCAAAATGCTCATTGCGTGCAACTTTGTCTCATACGCTATGTGTTTGGGATGTTTATCATATTGGAAAATACACATTTGATCTCAAAACAGATCCTCCATACTTGGCTACATTATGTTCAGCAAGTATCGGTCCATTTTCAAAGTGCCAGCAACTTTGTAGATCCTTTCAACACCTGCTGCAGAGATGCGTCCCCAATGCCATTATGTTTCCCCCACCATGCTTAAAGTCCCCGTGAACCGGAAGTTGCAAACGACTTTTCTCCAGTGTTGTGACGTATTTCAGAGAGAAACGGGATACTAAATGAGGCAAAATAGTGGGCGTGGCTTTTTTTTCCAACTAGCACCTAATTGGATCTAGAAAAGTAGGTGTTGTCATTCAGCCTGTCTACTGTCAGTTGGAGGGGCGAGGTTACGGATGTTAAGCAGACACCCAAACGGTCAAACCTACGTCATCAGGGAAGGTCCTCCTATGCGGGGAGGGGAAATTTTCAGATTTTGATTAAAGATTACGAAGCCAAAAGAATTTTTTGTGTGGATTGACTTGCATGGATGAATTGTTCACCACAAAACGATCAATTTAGGCAAACAAAGTAAGTATGGTCAATTTTGAATTCATGGGGACTTTAATGACATCACGCATGCATTTGGTATTAAACACACTCCAGTCATCTCCTACGAACATAAAGCACCTGACACCATCCAATGCTAGGTTGTCAAGGTTTGACTTGTCGGACTGCAGAACATGCTCCAATCTTCCTTTTGTTCTTTGGCAAATGCGAGGTGTTTTCTGCAGAATTGTTTTTTTGCAAACTGATAAATATTTTCTTTACTGCTGCACAACCTCTCAATCCAGCCTCTTATAGCTAGGTTGCTAGTCTCATCCAGATTTTTATCCTCCTGCAAAAATGCTCACTAGTCTTCCTTGACCAGCCACAGCATGTTACATTCTGCATGGCAATGGCCTCAATCTGCTTTGAAATAATTGTGTGGACATTGTGACAATTCACATCCTAAACATCAGCAATATCCAAAAGCGACTGACCAAGCGATTGATTATTCAACAATATTCTCCTTGGTTGCAGAGGAAAGCTTCTTCCATTTGGCCTTTTACACTAAAACCGACAAAACAACATCTAATAATATAGCTAATACTTGCCGCACGGGGATTTATTGAATTGTAGGCTGGGAGTAATGAGACTACTTTGCCAAAAATGACTTCCGTACAACTCGGTATGTTTCATTGCGTCATGACAAAAGATACAATTGAAATGTGGAATGCATACATTAGTTTTACACTACTACAGGCTCAACTTCACAACATGCGTACTAAATATTCAATAAATATTTAGTTGAATAAAGTGCGAAGAAGCCATTTTCTCTCGGTCGGATATCACTTTTGGCCACTACTGTATATTGTTCTTCATTATGAAATAATTGTCATCATTATCATAGACTCTCCAAAGACCCCGGAGACCAGTGGGCACAACAGCCCTGGCACTTCCAAATCCCCTGCCAGTAAAGCTGCGGGTGGCAAACCTCCAAGCACAGGAAATGAAATCAAGAAGGTCGCAGTGATTCGCTCGACCCCTAAATCCCCGAAGAACCGTTCTCCTACATCGCTGTCCGCCGCTGCCCCCCTCCCTGATCTGAAGAACGTGCGGCCAAAAGTCGGTTCCACCGACAACCTGAAGCACCAGCCTGGAGGCGGCCGGGTAATTCATCTTGATTTGATTCACTTCAATGTTCGGTTTGCAGTTGGGTTTGAGATCAGATTTAAATCAGATGTTTCGGTTTTTATATATATATATATATATTTGCACTGTGGAAAAATTTCCGCCAACTTCAACTTAAAAAGTTAAGGCAGCAACTGGTCATTTCACCTGAAGTTTTTAATAATCAAAATCAAATTGGCTGTACAAGTCATTTCTACTTGCATTATATTAAACTGTTGAATTATGCATAATTTTTAAAAATGAAGTTGAAATTGTTTATTATGATGAGTAATGAGTTAAAGTAATGGAAAAACATATTGCCATGACTTATTGATCATATAGTTTTTCTACAGTGTGGTCAAAGAATAAGGGCCCTATTTTAACGATCTGAAACGCAAGTGTCAAAGCGCAAAGCGCAAGTAACTTTGTGGGCGGATCCCGGCGCTGTTGCTATTTTCCCGGCGGGATAAATGCCTCTTGCGCCAGGCGCAAATCTAAAAGGGGTTGTCTGAAGTAGCTTCATTATTCATAGGTGTGGTTTGGGCGTAACGGGAAACAAACCAATAAGAGCGTCATATCACATTCCCTTTAAGAGCATGATGAACGAGGTGCGCTTGTTCCATGGCGCAAAACTATTATAACGGCGCATTTACCAGGCGCGCTTCAGAATCGGTTCACAGCCAAGGAGATCGATGTTCTCGTCAGGGCCGTAAAAGAAAGAGAAGTGACATTGGGGACGGGACAAACCCACCCAAATTAGCTTCGGTTAAACATGCATATAATAATCGGGGTAAATGTGTAAGCTTTATGCCTATTTTTCAAATTGTCATGGACACAACAATGATTTCCCTCGTGTTTTAATATTTTTCCTTATAATAATATATCATTTGCAAAAAGTAAAATGCATCTGTGTAGATGAGAGAATCATCTACAGTGTATGCGCATTGTTCACACTCTGTATTATGGCCAAGCATGCGCGCTTAAAATAGCATCTGAATGTACGCCCAATGCGCCACTGACTTTAGACTAGTTTTTTTCTGGTCAGTGGCGCAATTGTTTTCTGGAACTGCAAAATACCACCAGGGAATGTTTGCGCCGGAACACGCCTCCTTTTTGCGCCGACCCGCCCAGGGAGCGCAAGTTCATTTCCTAGTTTACCGGCGTGCGTCTGTGGAGGGAAAAGCCGCTTTGCGCGGGTGCAAAATAGGAATGATACATGCGTCAGTGTACAAAGTCATTTGCGCCGGGTGCAAGATAGGGCCCTAAGTGTGTATGGGAAAGACAATTAACATCGCCATATTCAATAACGTGCTAAAACTATTCCAAGAGTTGTCATGATTAAAATTGTTTTATCAGTAGTTGCAAAATCGCTGATATATTACACGATGTTATGTCTTTTCATATTGTTTCGATCTCATCAGCTAATGAAAATTCACCTGTTTATTACTCAAACATCTCTCTCTTCCCTACAACAATAGTTTTGAAGTCAACTCTTCCAATGTTCTGTCTTTCACAGGTACAAATTCTGGATCAGAAGGTGGATTTCAGTAATGTGCAGGCAAAGTGTGGCTCCAAAGCCAACCTCAAGCATATGCCAGGAGGTGGCAATGTGAGTAACTACGGAAAGATTCGAACACACAGGTTTTATTCCTTCATTTATGATCACCAAACAGTATTTGTCAGTGGCTATCCCATCATTATCAGTAAATTATGGAAGCTTGTTCCCACCACTGAATAAAAAATAAAAAATAGCGATTTTTTTTATCTCACAATTCTGACATTTAGCAAATTGAGAGTTTATACAAATCTGCCAGCAAAAAAAATCTGAATGCATGGCACGTGGCATATAAACTCGCAATTCAGATTTGTTTAGATATTATGTCTCGCAAATTCTGAGAAAAAAGTCAGTCAAAGTTTAAAAAAAGTCCGTCACAATTATCTTCATTTTTTATTCCGTGGCAGAAACAAGCATTTTGAAATTGTTTTTTAATTTTGATATTTTTCATATTCATTTTGCTTAAAGTTTTAGTAATGTTGTTGTGTTTTCTAAGATTTTTTTAAGTGTCTATAGTGTTTTATACATTTTTATTTCAGTTTTAGTTATTTTAGTACATCAATTTAAACATTGCATTACAGCTAGTTGCCAAAACAACATTTTATCATATTTCATTTCAGTTAATGTTTATTTTATTTTAAGTTCCGAAAATGTTTTAATGGTTATAGTTTTAGTCAGGGGCGTAATTTGTGGGGGGGATGGGGGGGATATAACCCCCCCAATATTTAAATCTATGCATTACAACTAGGGATGGCCCGATACCATTTTTTTTCAAACCGATACGAGTACGAGTATTTACATTTGTGTACTTGCCGATACCGAGTACCGATACCGATATTTCTACCGCAAAAGTAATAGGCTCCCAGAAAAGAAGACGACTATTTTAGAACACAGGTTAGAAGACTGTTTTTATTTTCTTCTCTGCTTGTTTTAACAAGTCTAAAAATAAATAAAAATTAGTAAAATAATAAATGTATTAACACACAAACCACTGTTAATTTAACATAAAAGCAAGCAGGCTACTGCGTGCATGGTCTGGCATGACTGAATGCGCGCAAAGTGGGCTCCCTTAATAAATCCTAAAAGCTGACAGTTCATCGCGATCTCACACATCTCTGTTATTATCAATGAAGCTGACTGCACAATCAATCTTTCACAATATCCACACTTTGTTTGTTATAATTAGAGGATTTGCCAGCATACAGAATTCAGCACTGAACAAAAAAGTCCGTTTTGAGCGGTGAGGGGAGTCTATCTTAAATGCTTCTGATTGGCCATTGCGTTCCAGAAATCAACACATATGTCTGTGATTGGCTACATCGCTCAACGCTGTAACCATGTTATGAATAGAAACTCTGTCCTGTAAATCGTTTCTATTTTGTTGTAGTTGTTCTTGTTGCTTTTCTGCAAGAGATGAATAAAAATCTTTTAGTTTTTATGTTTTATTCATAGATATTTCTAGTTTGCGGGAGTCCCGCGAATCGTTTTATTCCCCCGTAACCCGCACACACAGAGTGAGTGCATTACCGCCTGCGCGCGCGCTCGGCCATCAGATCTATGATGCGTCTTCAGATGTTTAATTAGATTGCTGGTGTTAAACGATGTACTTTCTTTCCCTCCTCTCGACACCTTAGCTGAACATAACTCACACCTTGCTGTTGTCATCATCCCTTATCTTGAAATGAGCCCAAACCGCCGACATTATACTTTCCTATGCGTCAGTTCACCTCGACAAAGCACTCGCGGCGGCCAGTTTCGTTTTGCAAAATGTACGTGGTATCGGTGCGTGGTATCGGCGAATTTTTATGAGTACGAGTACGAGTATATTAGGACAGTATCGGCCCGATCCCCGATGCCAGTATCGGTATCGGGCCATCCCTAATTACAACCCCCCTATTATTTATACCATGATCACAATATCAGGAGGCATACCCAAACTTCAACCCCCCCCAATGTTCAAACCAAATCTACGCCCTTGGTTTTAGTTTTCAGTTAATTATAATAACCATGGTAAGAATTGACTAATATATTATCTTTAAGTCTTGTAATGGTTACATTTTCCAAGAATGGTAACTATCCAGTTGTCCGAACAAACTAAAATGCATGCCGCTCCAAATAATATGTCTTTATGCTTCATGAGAATCGGGGAATATTTAGCATTTGATGTTCTCGTTCATGAAAACTTCCAAACGTTTGCTTTTAAACAGGTACAAATTCTTGATCAGAAGTTGGACTTTTGTAATGTCCCTTCTAAGTGTGGCTCCAAAGACAATATCAAACACACACCTGGAGGTGGCAATGTGAGTTACTATGAGATAAACCATTATCCAGACCTGGTTCACTCCTAAATTTACCATCCGCCATTTATTCCTTACCAAAAAACTATAACAACCTGCTCCTTTTCCAACTGATGGAAAGAAGTCAAGACTAATCAAACTCCCAACCATCCCTTACTGACTCAAGATGTTCCTGAAATGTTCCTCATGAAGTTAGAAACCCTGTATGACTTCAGATCTCTGCACTCTTTCAGGTAAAAATTCTTGATCAGAAGGTGGACTTCAGTAATGTCACTGAAAAAGAGGGTTTACTACTGTTGAGTTGATTGTTAAAAACTACAAGACAGTCAAAAGAAAGAGGGAGACAAAGCCATTATAGTGAAGTCATGTTTTATCTTTACCATTCATTCACAAACTCATGGCTCTTCCTCTCTTGCAGTTCTTTCTAACTCTAAGATAATTAGCAACATAACTCCTGCTATTCCCCAAATGTATAATTTTCCAGGTAGAAATACAGGATCAGAAGTTAGACTTCAGTAATGTCCAGTCAAAGTGTGGTTCCAAAGACAATATCAAACATGTACCTGGAGGTGGCAATGTGAGTAACTATGGGTTGAACTCAACACCCTTTAGTCTGGGTTCTTCCTGAAGTTATTTTCATTTGTGGAAACCTTGGGATTAACAATTTGGACACCCCGTCACAAACTCATGCTCTAAAAAGCCTTTCCTAATGACGAACTGTTAGTTTCCTCTGGTTGCTTTCTGGGTTCCTCTCTGGTCCTGAGCTAAAAAGACGGGTAACTCCTTGTCTTCCCCAAACTGTTCACTCTTTCAGGTGCAAATTCTCGATCAGAAGTTGGACTTAAGTTGCGTGCAGCCTAGGTGTGGTTCCAAAGATAATATCAAACATGTACCCGGAGGTGGAAAAGTGAGTAAACAGGGGACCGTTTTTTGTTTTCTTAACCAAAAATCATACTAAAGAGACTAATACTAGGGATGCACTGATATTGCAATTCTGGCCGATACTAATAACCTGATTATAATATCCGATAACCGATAAATGTTAAAACGGTATGTTAAAAAAAGTGAATCTCAAGTGAAGTCTCAACATCATAATGCACAATATAAAAGATGGATATTTATTTTGAGAGAGTGCAACTTGTAGTGAGCATTAATTAAAGCCCATTTTAAATTCTGTCATTAATTACTCACCCTCATGCCGTTCCAAACCCGTAAGACTTTCGTTCATCTTCGGAACTCAAATAAAGATCTTTTTGATGAAATCTAAGACATTTCTGTCCCTCCGCTGACAGCTACACAACTGCCACTTTCAAGCCCCAGAAAGCAGACGTTGTGGTGTGAACATGTGTTCATATTTTGTAAATAAAGTGGTAAATTATGTTTGTTTTTTTGCTCGCGTCACTTCAAAAAATTGAGGTTAACCACTGGAGTCACATGGATTACTTTAATGATGTCTCTGAGGCTTGAAAGTGGTGGTTGTGTAGACTTGTCAATGGAGGAACAGAAAGCTCTCAGATTTCACTAAAAATATATTCATTTGTGTTCCGAAGATGAACATGTTCATGTTCACACAACAACTTGAAAGTCTTACGGGTTTGGATCGACATGAGGGTGAGTAATTAATGACAGAATTTTCATTTTTGGGTAAAATAAACGAAACTACTTTTGGGATAATCTAAATGTAAAAATATGGGAAATGAGCATTCATAATTAAATAGTCATAGTACCGATCTCTTGTGTTTCCCTATTTTAAATGAATGCATGGTAAACTGCTTGGTTTCTTAGCTATGACTGTATGACCACTCACCCTCTAAAACTCATAAACAGGAATGTTTGCATGCACTAATTTTTGTAAATCAGAATGAATCCAATCTGATTTCAGAGTCTGTAATCTTTATTTTATACAAACCCTAAATGTTGCAATCCGATTCATATATTTGATTACAAGTGCATTACATTTATTCCAAACAAAGCGTTCAGAACCAGAGAAAGCCACCGCAATGTCAATGGAGTTGCCTTGATGACATATCCAAAAAAGCTGACATTTATGTTAGAAGAGCTTTTTTTTTTTCACATATTTAGTAAATATTCAGTCTCATTCCACTGAACAGTTTGTAGGACATGAGACGTAAGTAAACGTACTTATGATCGCGAGACAAAAACGCACATTCGTGTGACGTAAAACATATTTAAATGTGCGCAAGGTATTTTTTTAATCCGATTGAGAAAATAGTCGGATTTAATAGTTTACATGCTTTCTTTTTCTTCATTTAAGCGTAACTCAGAAGAACATACATGCCGTTTTGTGGCATTGACATTCCGAGCAATTACATTTCCTGCAAGACATGTTAAAAACAGAAACCTCCCTTACTTCAATAAAGTTAAGCATGTAATAAACAATTCTCCATATAATTAGAAGACTTTGATTTTTGACTTTTAGGAAAACCTCTTTCCTTACAAAAACAGATGACCACCACTGAAATCCTAACCCTTAATGCCAACCGGCTTGTCATTACGGGCAGTCATTACACTTATTAAAGTACCAGCGAGGGATCCCTAGAGATCCTTATGTACTCGAGAGGAGTGCTGTTGAAGGCACAGAGGGGTCTTGTTGTAGCGCTCTGGTCAGCAGAGCTTGTCTTTGTGGTGAGCAGTTGGCTCGAGCTAAAAGTTGACCTCACTCTGAAGACACTGAGGCCTTTTTATACAGAAAAAAAAACCCCAACAGCTGTGGCTATGAGGTCATTGCTTCTATTTTTGGAGCAGGAATTGGTACACAATTGTACCGTTCTCATGTTGTGTCTTCAATCCATAGTCTAAAATGAAGAGCATTGAAGAACATATCTTTTTAGAACCGGTGACCAACTAGATAACTAATGTTGTGGTTCATCATACTTTGAGGTTAGATTACATCGCTATAAATACAAATTGGTTTTTAAAATTCTCAGAGATGACTAAACCACCAAGAGGGTGTTGCATTGAAGGGACTGAAAAGTTTACTGACACTTGTCTGCCATTTTCTCTTTCTTATGTAAATGGAAGTGTGTTTGGATAGTTTTTAACGAATTTAGAATTGTATATAATTGCCTGGAAAAACATTAAAACCCTTGTTTTTGTTTTGTTTTGAAAAGGTCCAAATCCTCCACAAAAAGATTGACCTGAGCAATGTGCAGTCAAAGTGCGGATCGAAAGACAACCTACGTCACAAACCAGGTAACCGTAGACATCCACTTTGGATTTTAAATGCCACCGACAATCGAAGCTCAAGCTTTGGACTCAGTTTTCTCAGCATTTTGAATGCATGTACATACAGTAATTGGCCATTGAATATAAGTCATGAGGAATTTCACCTGCCTTTTCAAGGTGGAGGAAACATTGAGATCAGGTCTGAGAAGCTTGATTTCAAGGCTCAGTCAAAGATTGGATCTCTGGACAACATTAAACACGTGGCTGGAGGAGGCAGCAGGAGGGTAAGACGACATGTCCTCCACTGATGGGAAACGATACTCAAACTGTTCATTCTCCACCTGTGCTGTAGAACCTACACACCCTAAAGTTAAATATATAAATCCTTATCATTTTACAACCATGTCTGTGTAAACCTGTCTCAGGTGCTCTCTGGGTTTGAATCATTTAGTTCTTTAGATGGCTAGGCTTAACAAAATCCCCTGAACTAATTTAACTCCTTTAAATTCTCGTCTCATTGCCCTTTGTTTTGATTCCGTGAGCTTCAGGATTTAAAGAGGAGAGAATGTTTTGCTTTTACTCGTCTCTGCATATTAAACTGTCTGTGTTAAAATAAAACTGATCAAATTGTATACATATAAAAATGTATTTGAAGAGAAAACATGACATACTTCATCTTTAATTTATTTACATTTGTGTTACCATCGTTTTCCTTTTTGTTGAACCCATATCATTTTGTGTTTCTTTCTGTTTTGGTTGACCATGGTGTTCATTTCACCTGTCATTGGCCACCCTGGGGTCCGTCTCTAGAGAGAGAAGGGGAGAGGGGCAGATACGCCCCAAGATGAGGGCTTCCTCACCCCAGACCCCTCTGATACCCCCACCCTCTCATCTGCCAGTATGTCCCCAGAGCCCATCCTCCTCAGCAACCCCCAGATAAAGATTGAGGACTCCAGTAAGTATTCAAAGAGAGGCACGTGCCCGAAATAGACAGAGATATCCACATTAAATTAACCATCACTGTACTCTCATATATTTTTATAATATAATATTTGGAGAGTGCTCAAATATGGGGACACATTACTATTAATAGGGATAGGTCACCCTAAAATTAAGTTTACTCACCCTGGCGTTGTTCTAATGCCGTTTTTTCTTTTTCAGACCACAAAAAGAGAATTTATTTTAAATGTCCTGCTCGCACTCCTCTAATGGCAGTGAATGGTGAACAGCATCAAGATTTTTTTTTAAATCTGCAAAAGTAGGCTATCCAATGTGACACATGTCATATATTCAAAGTGTTCTGGGAGTATACTAGCCTGGTTAAAACCAGACCATTCTCAGTTGTAACTGAGTTATGGTCTGGCAAAGCGTCATAGACAAATCATTTCCAGAGGGGCGTCACCAACGGACGTCGCGGATAGACCTAAACCCAATCAGAGCGATGAAGGAGATGACGTATGCAGAGCGGCGGAGAAACTCCGAGTGTTGTTCTTTGCTCGGTTTTTAACAAAAAGGAAACGTTCAAATCGCTTAAAACAGACGCGATAGCTGATTCGAACTAGTGATGTTCGACGGCGGCATGGAAACTTTTAAATTCACAAAAAGTTCTTTATGATGGTTCTTCAGATTAATAAAATTCACACTTTTAGGAACTTTTCACTGAAAGGTTCTTTATGGAACAAAAAATGGTTCTTCTATGTTATCACTGCAAAAAAAAAAAAAAACCTTTTGGAAGCTTTATTTTAAGAGTGTTGGCTGTTGGTCTTCTGTGTTTGACTGCGTGTTCATGAGACTCCGAAGCACACTAGTTAGGAGAAATCAAGATTAAAAACAATGCCTAGAAATCCCAAAGTATGTGTGTTCTTTCTTCACTGAGTTAAATATCTCCGGACTGGAACTCCATTTGTCTGATGACAGTCCGAATGACAGTTGACAGTGAACGCAATAACTGTTTGTTGCGAATGAACACAACGGATATATTCACTTCAGAGAAGAAAGTACATGGATTGTATTTCATGTTGCAGTTTTTGTGTTTTTTTCTGGGCGAGTCTGAGTGAACTGAGGCGCTAAGAGTCTTAAGAACACACAGTCGAGCACAGAAGACCAACGGTCAGGAATCACATAACATTTCAGAAAAACTTGTGAGGCAATTTTTTTTACTAATGTACTGTTTAAATATAATATAATTTCTAGTTTGCATAAATTTCCAGAATTGAAATCTGAACATTGGATAAAGCCAGGTTTATAAAACATGTTTTTTTAATTTTGTTGATATATTAGAGTTAAAGGTTTTTACAAAGGGGACTTTGCATGTCTCTTTTTTTAACACTGAAAATACTGTCAACAGTCAAAAAAAAAAAATCACTATGTTTTATGAATAAATTGTTATTAACAGACCCTTCAGAATATATAGGAGTAAAACTGGAAAGATTTGTGTATATAAGTGCTGCTGATGAGAAGTTTTGTCTGTAGTGTCTTAAAACAATCAAATGATCACTTGATAAATCCATTTGCAGATAAGAAACCACTTAGTGAATTAATGTGCAAATTGGTAGATGGATCAGTAATCAACAAAGATAAAATATTTCATACAAATGAATTAAAAATTGCTTATTGCTTATAAGCAATTTTTGCTATTGCTTATAATAAGCTTCCACAAGTATCTTGTGAAATGCATCTTGGGTGCCATCTCCTGGCACAGAGTGATGGGAAATCAACTGTACAAATGAGCAACTGACCAACAAATGATAACTCTATTTTAAGAAGATTAAAAAAATGTTTAGTTTAAATTATGTTTATATTTATATAGAAACTCATTTCAAAAAGTTTTTATTGACTTATTTTCTCATGCTTTTTTATGCTGATTTATCCCTTTTAACACCATCTTTTTTTATTGTTTGACAAACAAACATTTTTTATTTTTTGACAAATTGATTATTTATACATTGATCATTCGAATATGTTATTATTTAGCATTTTGAGGGTACACAACAACTATTTCTGATTTTATAACATCCAAGTCCTGCCCTGCAGCTTAATGGCCACTAGAGAGCAACAGTGATGTCAAATGATGGAATGGCCCTCAGAATACAGGATTTAGATTAGCGGTAGTATTTGCTTTCTAGGAGTTTTCAGTACAGAATGATCCTGGATGCCTATGCATGGGTTCATGGGTGTTTTCACTCGAGAATTGTGTGTTAATCTCCATCCAAGAATCCCAGGTCCCCTCTGAACCAATATCCAGTTCACCTCAGGCATTTCAGTCGCTCTCGTTAGTTTTCATGTATTTCCTTTCCCCAGATTGAGTCGCACAAACTGTTGTTCCGTGAGCAGGCCAAAGCGCGAACCGACCACGGCGCAGAAATCGTGTCTCTAGACGAGTCTCCACACGGCCTGAGCACCGTCTCCTCTTCTGGCAGCCTCAACATGGCAGACCCGCCGCAGCTTTCCACCCTCGCCGACCAGGTGTCTGCATCGCTGGCCAAGCAGGGCTTGTGATTGGACCATACCACCACCCAGCCACGCCCCCAAAGCCCACCCCAGAAATCAGAACACACACTTTCACCTGCCTGGTGGTATTCTAACCTCTCTCTGAAAGTCATTTTGTGGCCCAGAAAACAATGCCAAGTAACGTTTGGCAATCACTGTTCGATTTTGTAATACTTCAGATTTGTTATAGGCCAATGAAGCTGTTTTAACTGTGAATTGTGTATGAATTTGCCTGTTCACTCATCCTTTGCTTTACGGCAGGGAATTTAACAATTGGGAATTTCTTGCAGTAGCCCTCCCTTGACTATATTTAGCAGCACAAAATTACGTTCATGTATTTGAATGCCGTTTGTTGACCATTTTATATTTTCTCTAGGCATGCCTGGTTTTTGGTTAGTACTGGATTTAGGACAGACAGGGTTCAGACAGAACCCATTTTTCACTTTCAGAGAGGATTGTTCTCATTTTTGAATCAGGATAAAATTAGATAGAGATTATGAATAAGTCGCTTAGCAGTGCTTAAAATAAAAATTAGAGCATTGAATCTTGACTTTGAGATTGAAAGAAGCTTAAAGCCCCACAGTCCATTTCTGAAATGATTTGCACGGCTTACGTGAAGAACATCAGGTGCAGAACAGAAGCTGGAAGCTTTTTCGTTGTGCTGTTGGTCAGAGATTACACTTCCTGCAGTGAACCGTGTGATTCATAAAGAAACTTTCTTACAGTATTATTCTGCGGATATGAGATGTTTATGATATGAACATACTTTTTTGTGTGCCTACTGGCAGTCTTAAATTATTGATTTGAATTATGTCAGTGCTTCTTTGAAAATGCCTCTCCTACTGGGTTTTTTTTCGGAACTAACATAACATTTAACTTGCATTTATATTTTTAACATATGCATAAAACAAAATATCTTCAAATTGTAGCTACGTGTTTACAGCTGTTTTGGACATTTTTATTGGTAACGCTTTACAGTAAGATTCAAGGTTTTAGCATGTATTATTAATGCATCATGAAATAAAAATGAACAATACTTCTACAGCATTTATTAATATAGGTAAATGTTCATTTCTACATATACTAAATTGCTGTAAAAATTTGTTCTTTGTTGTTCGAGTCATAATGCATTAACTGATGTTATTGCAGAGTGTTAATTAATGGCAGGTTGCAGGTGAGAAATCTGGACATTATTTGAAATCTCTCGTGGAAAAACACAACCTATGCATCTGTAATTTTTTCCCATAATACTGCCAACAGGTCCTCTCTTTTCCTGCCATGACATCCAGCTCTAGCGGAGATGTCATTTTTTAGATGAATTGCCAAACTGTATTGCAAATTTGCCCACTACACTGATAACATCTTCACGAAAAACCATCACCTGAGCACAAGCATGCCGTTAAACAATGCTCCGTCTCACCTCCTCGTGAACACATCCTCCACTTCCACTTTAGAGCTGTAAAATGTTAAGTCAAGGTATTCTATTCTACTGAATGATGATGTAATGACCTTAACCAGTCACATGGCTTAAATTCTCTCTGCACTGCACTATCGCAGAATGTTTTAATGAGCTTTGAAGCACTCCACACTATCTTTGCTCCTTGCATGCATTTCATGTAAGCAGCCTGAGATACGGCGTTGCCTCTCACACGCCTACTTTTGCGTATATCCCGTAATCGCTGATGTGCTTATTAGGAATCTATGTAGATAGTAGTGGAAAAGAGCACTGCTCAGACGGCGACCCCTGTTTCTTTGTGTTGGAGAAGGAGCTGTGTAACTACCATTAGATATTTAATGTATGTTTATTGTATGTTTATGACTGTATGTTTATGAGGACTTGAAGAAAAAAAAGAAAAAGAAAAAAATATGCAGAGAAGTTCAGAGACCATGCCTGCAACACTTTAACCTGCATGCTGAGTTTTTACATGGATTGGCGACACGTTTCTGAACGTTTTCTAACTAGGGTGTTTTTTTTTGGAAAGGTCGGCAGAGCTTGGATATGGGATAAGGTGTTTTGTTCCGCTTGTGATGTTGTGTTGAGGGGGGAAGTGAGTGTGTAGAAGACAGAAGAGGGAAAGAAAGTCTGTCCTTTGGTTTAAATGTCTCACTCTATAGCATCACGCCTGCGACATGGTTTTGGGCGCAGTTTTGCCATCCTGTTGTCATTGACTCCATTTTTGCGGTTGTAAATTTTAGCTTGGGAATTGTGGTTGTCAATATTGTTTGTGTGTTTTATTAATAACTGGTTTACAAATATTCTTGTTGATGTACATGTGAATTTGGAAATAAAGGATATTAAGCAAATGTCTACTTTTTTATTATGCTTTTTATTATTACTCAAAATACTTATATTAATACATATTCGTGGTGTCGCTGTGTTCATCAGAGCACATTGTTGGAAAAAATTAGGCAAAAAAAAAAAGTCAAATAGACATTATGTTTTGGGGTGGGGGGGTTCTTGTAAAACATGATTATATATATAATATATATATAAAGCATATTTAATTTTGCAAAGGTGTCAGTTCATTTTAGACTTTCTCTCAGAGTATAAATGGATCTGTTTACATGAAAAGCATTTTATATTTTAGAAACATTATATTTGGGGTTAGAAAACTAGTTTTAGGCTACTGTTGCTTAAAATCTTGTCAGTTATCAATTTTCAGTAAATGAAGCAGATTAATAACTCAAATAACAATAAAAAAAAGAATGGTTAGTAAGAAAATAGTAAGTAAATTTAATTTATAAAGCACATTTACACACAGCATAAAACTGACCAAAGTGCTGTACAGTGAATAACTAAAAAATAAAACAAAAACACATGCCTTTTAAACAAACAATACAACTTTGACCTGAATCCTAAAAAGAACTGGGAACCAGTGCAAGGAGGCCAGAATGGGGGTGATGTGCTCACGCCTCCTGGTGCCAGTTAAAAGACGCGCAGCTGCGTTTTGGACCAACTGCAAACGTCTAAGTGAGGATTGGGGGAGGCCAAGTTAGAGGGAATTGCAATAATCCAGCCGTGCTGTAATAAAGGCATGGATCATTTTCTCAAGGTCGTTGTGAGATAGGAATGATTTCAAGCTGGAGATCATTCTGAGCTGGTAAAAACTATTTGCGACAACAGAGCTAATCTGTTTATCAAGGCAGAGTTCGGAGTCGAGGATGACACCCAGGTTTCTTGCATAGGGTTTGACAGAAGGGGTGAGGTGACCTAGATTTTGCACTACAGTGCATCTTGCCTTGGGAGGACCAAAAATTATGACTTCTGTCTTGTTACCATTTAACTGGAGAAAGTTGTTAGCCATCCACATTTTGATGTCTTCGAGACAGACCAGGAGAGATTGTATGGAGTCCCTAGATTTTAGAGGCAAGTACAGCTGTGAGTCATCCGCATAGAGGTGAAAAGAGATGTTATGAGATGTTATGTATTCCAGGTTACCACTGGAATACATTGCAGTGAACTTGACCATGTCCCTGTCGGAAAGTCTTCTCAAAAGGGTTTCAGGACAGTAGTCCTCCATAATTATTTGCAAACATTCAGGTCTGCCTCCATACTCCTTTGCAACCCCTTCATGATCAAATCAACTCCTGAGGGAAACAATCATGTCCTGCCTCATTTCCTCATAACTGAATAATATGCCATTTCTTTTACACAGACATGAATGTTGCCACGTCACGTTGCAACAGCATCAAAGTGACCGTTGTCGTAAGTAGCGCAAGTGCATTGAAACGATAGTTCACCCAAAAATACAAATTCTGTCATTAATTACTCACCCTCATGTCGTTCCAAACCTGTAAGACTTTCGTTCAACTTTGGAACACAAATGAAGATCTTTTTGATGAAATCTAAGAGCTTTCTGTCCCTCCGCACTTCAAGCAGATTCGGTTGAGCTTTCCCAGACAGCAACATAGTGTCGGCCCAGATCCGGCCCACATCTGCTACGCGTGGATTCCACATGTAGGCCTACCAGATGTGGCCCGGATCTGGGCCGACACTATGCTACTGTCTGGGTCTGTTCGCTGATCAATGTTTATATGTGAATAAAAGACTAAATTCAATCTGTTCATCATATACAGCGATCGTGTCTCCTTAGAAAATATAGACTACGCTCAATTCATATGGATTAGTTTTACAATCTCTTTATGAATGTTTTGAAGTGTCAAAGTGGTAGTTGCCTCTACTGCCAAGCTCTCAGATTTCATCAAAAAGATCTTCATTTGTGTTCCGAAGATGAACGAAAGTCTTACAGGTTTGGAACGACATGAGGGAGAGTAATTAATAACAGAATGTTCATTTATGGGTGAACTATCCCTTTAATTACATCATAGAACAGGGCATCAGTTTATTGTCAGGGACTCGTCGTGAGCATCAAAGTCCCTTTAAGACATTTCACTCAGCGGCCATCTTTGAAACGCCATTTCAGTCAAGCAAGTGCAGCTCCTTTCTCTTTGAATGGGGAGACATCAGATTCTCTTAAGCTGTTCACTTACGATTAAATTTCATATTTGAGATCACAAATGAAATCTGACAATTGTCTCACAAATTTAGTTTATGTTAAAATAGCATTAAAAAGCTGTTAAAAGCCAATGTGGAGGTGCAGTCCAGATCATTGACTGTTTCTATAGCAACCGGAGCTTCTAACAAGCTGCAGTGACGTGATGATTGTATCTTTTTTATTTATGGCTTATTCCGCCATATTGCATGTTGCACTTTCTCCTATTCATTCATAGTAATATGAGTGCACCGTCTTTCTATATATAAAGTCTTTGGCCGCATCCAGTGTGGACCGAATGAAATCCAGCATTTAGCTTATCCTGATAAGCACTCATTGTCACAGTTCGAAACACGACAGCTTTCTTCTTCCATGAGGGGGTTTGGCATCACGGCATCTTTGTTGCCAGGCAGACCGTTAAAGAATGTGACACAAGTCTCCAGGAAATCCTGTAGAATTCACCCAATTAGATGACGACTTCGAAACTCCTGAAGTGATTCCAATTTTGTGTGCCAAATGCAGATCAGATGTTCAGCCAGCGGTCTGTGGGCATGACGTCTGAGGCCCTGTCCCAAATGGCACACTTCATATGCGCTTTTTTGGTCTTGTGGACTTATATACAATGGCCACCGCGTGTCCATGTGTTAAGTCCATGAGACCGTAGGCTGTCCCATTTGTTATTTTAGGTTTCAGAAGGGTGCTTGCAAGCGTCCTCGATGCGGAATGGATCTGGTGCGATCAAAAGCAGTGTTGCATCACGAAAGTGTGGACTTGTAGGAAGACCGCGAGTGTTTAGGGACAGTGGGCCTGAGGCCGAGACAATAGCCGCGTTTCCACTGTCGGCCCAGGGCCGGGCCAGAGCTAACAGCGAGCCGAGCCGAGCCAGTGGCCTTGGGCCTTAAGCGTTTCCACTGCCGGGCCAGTAGCCCCGCAGCGCTGCCCTAAACCCCGCCCCTAACACGCCTTTCTGAACCAAACGTCATACAACCCAACCCATTTCAGCGGGTGTTATGAATTTATTTATTTTTTAAGTTAGGAAGATAGCATGTATATTAACTCACCGGCCGTGGCTGCAATAGTGT